CATCCCCGTAAAGTAAGGGACGGGCCGCCAACTCAGCGGGAGAGCATCCGCCTTGCAAGACTGCCAAAGGCCTCAGATTCGAATCTCTGGAAAGCCGCTGCCAGCCAGTGAAAGCAAGACTGAGAAGGGTGGTCCGTTGGTCTGACTCTGCATTAGGTATTTTCCTAATTCTCTCTCTCCTCCCCCGCACCCGTTCCAAGTGCAGTTTCAGCATCTTAGACTCCTACTTTTCCCTAAGCAACTTCAAACTCCATCCCTGGTAAAATAGGGGGGGGGGGGGCAGAAGCTGCCTTCGGGAACCAACTTTTTATTTTTCAAGACTTCAGAAAAGTCCCCCGGTGTCAACTGGTTTTGGGTCACAACAGCTGCCACCCGTAGGTCACACCTGAAACTCATTCCTGGGCTGTACCTGAGCCCCGTTTGCCTTCCTTACTCAACGTTTGAGCGATTGTAGATCGCCTTGCTGCAATTCCCAGCACGCTTAGCAATCTACAGTTCCCAGTTTTTTTTGGGGGGGGGGGGGCGATATGCTTTAAATGTATGGTGCGCAACTGCCTGTCTTGTTATGGGCGAACCATTCACAGGCGCTTGTCCAATGACTTATTTCCCCTCGGAGTAGGGTAGCTAAGCTGTCCTGAAAGTGTGTGTGCGCAGTGAGAATAACAAGGGGAGACTCCAGGAAAAGGAGGGGTTAGGAACTAAATCCTGGATATAAAATAAAACTCCGGAGAAGACCTCATATTTCATTTACAGGCGCAGCGACTAACGGCGCTTGGTTGGATTTCTTAACTTTGCACAGCTAAACGTGAATTCCCGCAGGTCATCTAGCGCTAGGAAGGTTACAGCGCCCTCTTGTGCCCGCTAAGCATATCCTGAGGCTGAATTCAGCCTTCAAAAAAACAAAACAAAAAACAGGAACATTTTGAGAAAAGGTGTTTCAGTTTCTTGTCTCTTACACATCACGGACTGAAACTAGCTATTCCCTTTCAAACTGGGGACGGACAATACTTCCATTGGGGAAGTGGGGTTGGGTTGGGTTGGAGTGGAGTGGCTAAGGGCTGTCCAACAGAGATATCAACATCCTCACCAAATTATTTGTATTTTAATCTATTTATTAAATGTGTATACTGCCCTTCAGCCAAAGATCTCAGGGCAGAGCCTCCCCCAGGATTTACAGAAGCTGTACCGGATTCTGATTTGATCCCGGAATGTACCACTTTTCTTTACAGCGTCTCTATTTTCATCAGAGAAATGTTGGAGGGTACGGAGTTATAAGACCCCCGAGCCATCTGAGGGCAACCCTGTAAAGGATCATAACCAGCACTTTGAATTGTGCCCAGAAACAGATCAGGAGCCATTGGAGGTGTTGTAACATTTATCATAATGTAGTATTATTATTGTGCAAAATGTGTGGCCCACTTAACATGAAAATACCAAATATCAAAGCAGTGCACAGAGAAGTGGGGAAATATGTAAAATAATAACATTACTGTGGATGTGAAACACAGAGCAGTCAAATACAACATTCCTAGAGTGGACATAAAAGGGATGTCTGGACCAGCCAGTCGGAACTTCCTGTTTCCTCCTGGGCTGGGACAGACTTCCTCTGCATGTGGCCAGAGGTGGGCGTGACCTCACCTATGCAGGTAACAAAATACCTCAGGGGAGGCAGCCACCTCTCTCTTTGACTCCATTCCTTGAAGAAGCAACATCATCTTAGTCTGAGATGTTCTCTCCTTATGGGATAGATTCCAGGTGTATATGTTTTGTAACTTAAGTCTGCCTTCTGGGATCCATTTGTGAACAGAATGTGAGTCATGTCTATCTTTTTTTTTGAGGGAATAAAGGAGAAATTATCAGGAAACTTATTTTCGAGGCTTATACAAGCCTGGCAAACGTTATCCGCTGTACAAGTTTAAAAAGGGGGATGTTACTCTGCTAAATTATGTAGAACTTGTTAACACAAGTTGGGAAGGATATAATTTAACAATATATCCTCTCCTGCCTCCCTGAACATTCCTACAATTACAATATCAGATAGAGAGATAGGATAAAATTCACATGATCACAATGCTAGTTGTGGACAGAAATTAGCATTACTAATACAGTACAAAGCTGGGGAAGCCTGAGTGAAAATAAAAGTTTTTAGCGCACACCTGTTCCTACTGGTTTTGGCTTAGCCTTAGTGCACAATCAAAGCCTGTGCACCGTTACTCTGAAGTAGGCCCCTAAGCCTGAATAGGATGAACAAGAGCAATGCTTTGCACACCCTGGTTTAAATAAGGCTGCAGTCCTATGTATACTTGCTTGGGAGCAAATCCATCAAAACTCAGCAGGGCACATGCCTGAGTAAATAAACATTGCTTAGGACAGCACTAAGCATGGCATGACTTGAGCTGACTTTGGTGTAACTTGAATGCAGGATCAGGTCCTGAGATGGGTGAGCTGGATAGAGAGGGTAAGAATCAAACACAGTGGCCTCCCTTTGCTGAAACAGGTGAGACCCTTCATATAATTTCTTACCACCATGTGGAAATCTTTCTCTTCTCCTTTGCCACTCTTTATTTCCTGGGGTGAAACAACTTGTCTGGCTTTAAGCAGCAAAGGGCTGGGGGAAAGGAACCCTCGAGGGGGAAAGAGAACCAAAAATAGCCAAACAGCGACACCCAGCACAGAAAAATGTGCAGCTCACTCAGCTGGGAAAATCTGCCTGGCTGAATACAAGGGCCTGGCTGTGCTGAGATTGCTAGCTCAACAGTGGCTTCAGTCAGAGGTTTCTGCTGGTTAGGAAGCAGAGAAGACAGGACTGCTGAGATCCTTAGTTTATGACCCAGGAGAAAGGCTGAACTGAGTTTCCATTTCCAGCCCTTGTATTTGCAACCAGAAATGATCACCTTTAAGAACATTCTTCAAGGTGAGAAAGAGGGCTTGAACCCTGCCATCTCCAACAAAAAGAAACAGGTAATAGATGATGAGAGAGAGCTTTCTGCCTTACACCCTACCAATCAGAGTAGATGATTGTCACAGCCGTGCCTTGCATTTAAAGCACACAACTCTCCCCCAAAGAATCCCGGGAACTGTAGTTCATTAAAGGTGCTTTGAATTAAGAACAGCCTGCCGGATTAAGCCAATGACCTATCCAGTCCAGCATCCTTAAAAATGGCCAGCATTTATAACCAGTTCAGGCCAGACTCATCTCCCCTTGCTTGCAATCTGATCAAGTAGCACTTGGTGGACGTTGTGGCTTTGGGCAACCAAGGAGGAAATGGTCCAAAGTGTCTTTTCTGTTTGCCTCCTGCAGTCTCAGGGCAACTGGCAGTAGAAGTAGAGTGTTCTCTCTGGTCGGAAAATGGGAGGCAGGTTCTCTGCAGCTGTTGCTGCTGCTTCAGCCAAAGGATGAGGCCAGGTTGATCTTTTCCTTCCTATGGTGTCCTTCCTAGGAGGCATGGGATATCCCATCCCTCTGGACCTTGGTGCCCTGGCTGGTGGCAGAAGCCAACATGTGCTGCCTTTCAGCTCTCCAGCCCCAGAACCACTGGAAGTGTCTGTTCTGTCATGGAGGGAAAGGATGCTATTCTGATGGTGATATATATAGAGAGAGGATAACTAGCCCTGCTGTACATCGGGGAGGGCTGTGTGGAGAGAGTCTCTTCCTTTAAATTCCTAGGCCTTTATCTCAGTGAAGACCTTACTTGGAAAATCAATACAACCCAGATGGTTAAGAAAGCCCAACAGAGACTCCATCTCCTCAGAGTATTGCAAAAGAACGATGTCAATCAACATTTGATGATCTCCTTCTACTGGTCCACAATAGAAAGTGTCCTTTCATACTGCATCACGGTGTGGTACGCTGGTTTGACATCAACTGATAGGAAGCGCCTACAGAGGGTGGTGAATACAGCACAAGATATTATGGGCTGTCCGGTGAATCCGCTGGATGAAATAGAGGAAGAACATTGCCTCAGGAGAGTGAGGAGAATTCTCAGGGATGATTCGCACCCTGGCCGGCACTTTCTTGATCTCCTGCCCTCAGGCAGAAGATATTAGTTGCACCAAAAGGGTAAAGAACAGCTTCTATCCATGGGTTGTTAGGCTGCTGAATGAAAAGATAACAACAGGGCAACTGACTTTCGGGTTTGGTGGGTATGCGTCAGTAAACGAGGGGAATTAAGACTAAGAGAGCTGAATGGGGAGTGCTTGTGTAATCTCACTATATACAAGTTGTACAAGTGACAATCAAGTATTTCAATTTCAATCTATTGCCTACAGCTGAGATGGTCTGTTCTATAGCAGATGGCAGTCACTATTACATAGCTTTGGAGTGCTTTTTTAAAAAACAATTTTGGGTTGGTTTGCCATCACCACCCTCTCTTGAGGACTGGTGATTCCAGGTCAAACCAGACGTGTTTGCATTTTACCCAGAAGTTTTTAAAGACGAAAATGACAACAGCTGGAGTGTGCTTCGTTATCAGGATCACAGCAGATATGGAGTGGCAATTGAGCTCACCCCTCCCCCACCTCAATCTGGAGGGAAATGCCCTCCCATTTGCATTGAGAGGAAATTCCATATTACCCCTGGAATCTGGCACCACTCAGGTGACGGGTATTTCCCCCCCAGCAGTAGGATCATAGAATTGTAGAGTTTGAGCAGCCAGAAGGAAGAGCTCCATCAAAACCTCCATTATGTTGGGAGATGGAAGGATAAATGGCCCCATGGCTGGTGAGAGGCTGTTTTTTCAGGAGCAAATCAGTAGGCAAAACACATGCTGTTGACCAGGCATAGGCAAACTCTGGTCCTCCAGATGTTTGGGACTACAATTCCCATCATCCCTAGCTAACAAGACCAGTGCTCAGGGATGATGGGAATTGTAGTCCCAAACATCTGGAGGGCCGGAGTTTGCCTATGCCTGCTGTTGACTCTTCTTAGAATCATGGAACTGTAGAGTTGGAAGGGTGCACAAGGGTCATCTAGTCCAACCCCCTGCAATTTAGGAATCTTTGGCCCAACGTGGGGCTCAAACCCGCAGCCCTAAGATTGAGAGTCTCATGCTCTGCCAACTGAGCTATCCCAGCACTGCTCAGAATAGACCCTGGCAGGGGTGGGACATTTGTCCAAGGATTTTAAGAAGTGTGGATGTTGCTTATGAACTGGGTAAGCCTGAGCTTCATTAAAACAACATTCATTTCCTTCCTTAGGAAAATAGGAAGCTGATATATACTGATTTAGACCATTGACCTATCTAGCTCCATATTGTTTACACTGACTGGCAGCAACACTCTTTCCTCTGCCCTACCTGGTGATACTAGAGACTGAACCTGAGACCTTTAGCACAGTGAGCAGATGTGCTTCCACTGAGTTTCCTTCCTTCCCTATGTTAGAGTTATCAGCATAGCACTGATCTTAAAGAGTCTTTACATTGAAGAGACAGAACAAAACAGTTAATTGTGTCTTCCTCTCTCTCCCCGCCCCCCTTTCCTCTTTTCCCTTTGGTCAGAAATTGTAGTATGAATGAAGACATCAGTCTTTTCTGGTAACATTCCGTTTCCTGATACATGTGAAAAATTATATGCTGCCCTAAAAATAGCTCACTCATGTGCTTATAAGCTCAGTGTCACACGCACATATATCATAATATAAATAGTCTTCAGTGTTCCTGTGTGTGAAGTCACCCTAGCCAGGAAAAATCCGGGCATGCAAAAGGTTTCTAAGTTTACCTTTTTGTTTCCCCAGCCTGTTCAGAGAATTTTATTCCCTGATGAAATTGGTTTTCATGCCTCTTTTAACCTGCTGTCTTCATCTGCTGTTCATTTTATATAGCTGCGTTTCTCGCTATTGGATGCATCCTTTCCTTTGATTGCTTTGTAAAGATGTCCTGGAACATTTCTTTTTGAAGGGCTGGATAAAAACAAACAAGCAACAGGTCCTTAATTAATTCATTCATTAATTAATGCAAATGGGGTAAAAGAAAGGAGGAAGGATTGCTTCAGTTTAGGGCTGACATTTGGCCAATTCATGATTTGTAAACTAAAGAGAGAAATTCCATATATGCACAATATACTAATATTGCATATACTGTAGTATATATTATAATAACAAACTTTTTTAAAAAATGTATTTTTATTAAAGATTTTCTTGGTTTACAAAAGTATGCGTAATCTCTCTCTCTCTTTTCCCAAGTAACATTTTTTTACAGATCGGTTTTGTTTGTTGAGACATTAGGAAGAAAAGGGGGAGAGAGGTGGAGGGGGGAAAGGTGAGTGGGGGTGGGGGAGGGTGGCAATGTTTCTATTTTACTTAATTTATGTGGGGTTTTGTGTCAGTGTCACTTGTACAGGTTCTCTGCTATTCACTTGTGTTCCTTTGGTGGTGAGAGAGGTTGGAGTTGGCCTAGGGTGTGGTTGTTCATTTGTGGTTGGCTCTGGTGGTCTTTGTTTTCATGTGTGAGTGGAGTGGGTGATAATAACAAACTTATTCTAAGCATAGATCCTTATCGGTGCCGGATTTACATATAAGCTTAATAATAATAAAAATAATTTATCTATACCCCGCCCATCTGGCTGGGTTTCCCCAGCCACTCTGGGCAGCTTCCAACAGAATATTAAAATACAATAGTCTATTAAACATTAAAAGATTCCCTAAACAGGGCTGCCTTCAGATGTCTTCTAAAAGTCTGGTAGTTGTTTTTCTCTTTGACATCTAGTGGGAGGGCATTCCACAGGGCGGGTGCCACTACCGATAAGGCCCTCTGCATGGTTCCCTATAACCTCACTTCTCGCAGTGAGGGAACCGCCAGAAGGCCCTCAGCGCTGGACCTCAGTGTCCGGGTAGAATGATGGGGGTGGAGATGCTCCTTCAGGTATACTGTACCAAGGCCATTTAGGGCTTTAAACAAGCTATAGCATAGGGCCCCCTCTCTTGGGGGCCCCCAAAAAATGTAAAGGAAAAAAAACCCCTGGATGTACATTCCCAAAATATAAGATAAAAAACAAATAAAATAAAACCTACATACAGCAACAGTGTTTTGTGTTATGTAGGCTCCAATGATGTACGTAATGGGCCCCTGATCATTTTAAGTTAGAGCTTAATAATTATTTCACTATTAATATGTGTCTTCTTAACTGTATCTCAGTTCAACAATTATTTTGATAAAATACATATTTTGTTATGTGAAAATGGCTTTAGATACCTATTAGGTCCATAAATTACCATATAGCATACAGTGGTACCTCAGGTTAAGTACTTAATTTGTTCCGGAGGTCCGTACTTAACCTGAAACTGTTCTTAACCTGAAGCACCACTTTAGCTAATGGGGCCTCCAGCTGCTGCCGCGCCACAAGAGCCCAATTTCTGTTCTTATCCTGAAGCAAAGTTCTTAACCTGAAGCACTATTTCTGGGTTAGCAGAGTCTGTAACCTGAAGCGTATGTAACCTGAGGTACCACTGTATATGGTATACAGTGGTACCTCGCAAGACGAATGCCTCGCAAGACGAAAAACTCGCAAGACGAAAGAGTTTTTCGTTTTTTGAGTTGACTCGCAAGACGAATTTCCCTATGGGCTTGCTTCGCAAGACGAAAACGTCTTGCAAGTTTGTTCCCTTTTGGATTTTCAATGCATTCCTATGGGAAACCGTGCTTCGCAAGATGAAAAATTCGCAAGACGAAAAAACTCACAGAACGAATTAATTTTGTCTTGCGAGGCACCACTGTATAGCATATATACCATATAACAAATATTCAACACAAAAAACAGTGACAATTTGTTGTTGACAAAGGATAGCTGAACATATAAAGGGCCCTATTACCTTCAGTAGCTTATGGCCTCATCAAACCTAAATCCGGCCCCGATCCTTATTCATAACAAAGGGTGCAATCCATCAGCGCTCTCAGGGAAATCCCACAGCTTTCAGAAGCACAGACTTATTTAGGTGGAAGGACCCCCAAAAAGGTAATGAGGACTGAACACGCTCAGTGAGTGTGGAATGCTTAACGACAGTTCTGTGGGGAGGAATCTGAAAACCAGGGAGGAATGAATGGTGTACTGTATCTTGGGAAAAGGCATCGCTGGCTGGCTGGAACCCTGCACAGGAGCCCTGCACGCTGCAACAGTTTGTTGCAAGTTTCATTCATTAATCCTCTGTTCTTTAAGGATCTTTATACAGGTGAGAATTCAGCTCTTCATTCCTCACTTAAGAAGTTCACTACGGACCTGAAAAGAGCCAGCATGTGGTTTGGGGGCAACTCCTACCTTAGGGAATAATATAATTCAGTCAACCAATGTTCACACTGTTGTTTATGGCACTGCTTTTTTTAGCAAACGCAGATACTGCTCAGTGAGAGAGCGGGGAGGGAGAATACACACACACAGAGAGACACACAAATGCTCAATAAAGACCAGACACAGGCCCCTTCTGAACGGTGCATTTAAAGCAGGTCTCACGATCAGAGTCAGAGTTGTTTTGAAGTGGAAAATTCCCTTAGGAAATTGAAGTGGAAAATTCCCTTGAGCCAGCTGCAGTTGTAACAGATTCAAGCTTCCTCTAGGGGGACACTGTAACAGTCAAAAATGTCTTAAAGTAGTTAGCTTCTTCCTTTAGCCCCCCAATTCAGCGAAAAGACAACAGTTTCTATCTCAGTCTGTTACTTTAAAACCAGGAGATACCTGTCAGCAATATTGTAACAAAATTGTATCTCAAATGCAGAGTTAACTGTCAAAGAGTACTTTCAGCGACAGCGCAGTTTCCAATACGGCTTCTTACTGTCACTGGGAACCTGTTCCAGGGTTTTAAGCGGTGGTTTTTGTCTCCTCTTCCTCTTTTTTCAGGGAAATAACGTTCAAACCTTCTCCCCCCTCCTTCCCTGCAATCAAGGGGGGAGAAACACAGTTTTGATGCTCGAATTATAATCCTTTTCCAACGTCTTTTAAAGCTTCCACTTTCAAGTTCATTGCTTTACTCCATTTACAAGAGCGGGAGGCAGACTTCCTGTTTATACCTCTCCGCTTCGGTGCCGAATTGTTCTAAAATTTTGTAAAGTTCCTTTAGTTCAAAAGTTGGCCTACTCATGGATCGTTGTTTCAAGGCCAAATTGTCCCAGGAAAAAGGCAGCGCTCTCCGGTAACAGCTGCGCGGCTTCACTCCATGGAAGAAGCAGACGACTCACAGCACAGCGCCACTTCCCCGCTCCGCTCCGGAGCCTGTTGCCGGGTTCCTTTGCCAATTGGGGGGGCGCAAACGGTGCCCGCCGAGTCCCACGGTCACAGGCTTCACCTGCCTGTGATTTTTGAAGGGTCCCCGCTGCGCCGTAGCGGTGCAGACCCAATTTCCGTGGAGCCAGTTCCCTCCAAATCAGAGGGAATCCGCCATTACCGATGGCGCCACCCCGGAAGTCCAAAGCAGTGTCCTGCCACTTTAAGCACCCGTAGTTTCCCCCAAAGAATCCTGGGAATTGTAGTTTGCTAAGGATGCTGGGAGTTGTTAGAGGACCCCAATTCCCCATGCAGAACTACAATTTTCAGAGTGGCTTAGCAATCAATCCCGCTTCCTCCAAGAACTTGTCCAACCAACTTGTCTAATCCAGATTGGTGACCACTCAGTTTCACTTGCGATACTCGAACCATATTTCCCGTGATGAAATTCAGAGTGAAGTGCTATTCCTTAAGCGAACTTTCAATACAAATTTCAAACTTAATTCTCCGTCACCGAAAGAAATTGCCGATCAGATACTAAACTTGAATTTGGAAAACGTTTTTCCAAATCTTCTAATTGCATTACGCATTTTCTTATCATTACCAGCTACAGTGGCCTCCAATGAGAGAAGTTTCAATATATTAAAACGAATTAAGTCTTTCTTTCAATCAACAGTGGCTCAAGAATGCCTAAATGGTTTAGCAATGATAAACATAAACCACGATAAGGTGGAGTTGCTTGATTTTTCCTGCGTAATTCAAGAATTCATAGAAAAGAAAGCTAGAAAGCATTTTTAAATGTAAATACTTAAAATAATCCTTTTCCCTATGTATTTTTAAAAAGCACTATTGTATATCTATATTTTCCATTTTGTCTTTATATGCAG